TGAGTTTCACAAAAAGAACTTGTTTTGTAAGTGAAGTTAATAAAAAGGCAAGATGTTTTCCTTACTCAATCATGAAATTATTTCAAAGAATATTTTTTGTCAATATAAAGAGAAATTTCTCAAAAAACATTTGTATAACGAATCATATTTGCTGATGGAATAAATTTCCATGAATTATTGATTTTAGTTCTTGAAGATTCTTTTCGATTAAATTTTCGTTCAGTATAAGATTTATTTTTTCCAATCATATCATTCATATCAATATCATCTTTATTTTTATATTGACTAAAATTTTCTATAGAATTTCTTTCAATTCTACTCGAAAGATTTTCAATGAAATTATTATATGGTAAGGAACGAGATGACAATTGAGATGGAATTAATAATCTAAATAAAATCTATTTGTTCAATTACTCTTTTAAATTTTGAAAAAATCCACATTATGTGTAATCAGTTGGTTCAGATTGATATTGTTTAGGATTATGTTCTAAACAATTGTTCTTCATCATGAAATTGTTTTGATTGAGATCTTTGTTTTTCTTTTGTTAATAGGTGATTTGGAAATATTTCTTCTGGTTTTTGTTTTTGATGTTGTAATTGAGATGAAGATTTTTGTTCTTCTCTTTTAATCTGTTGAGCATGTAATAAGAATTGAATCTATATAGAATTATAGATCGAAATCGAAATCGAAATGAAATATTGAAAAATAGCTTATACTGTTGTTCTCGTATTTTTAATAATCGATTGACAGGAATTTTTCTTCATTTAAGTGTTTCTAAAAGATGAACAAAGTCTATCACTAATTGAATGAACTCATTCATCAAGTGATTTTTTATAAACAAATCATATTAATTCAATTGCAATATCAATATAATCTAAAGTTGAAATATTTTTTGATATAAATAATATAACTTTATTTTTATCGAATTCTAATGCATATGAACTACATTCAGTTGATTAAATATTAAATAACTAGATAAATAAATCGAAACCTTTCATTTAATGTAATTGTTTTATTTTAAAATGTTAATTGACATTGAATACCTTCAGATTCATAAACAGAAAATTTTGTTCGCAATAATTCAATATATTTATCATCAACACCTTCCATTCTCTCTCTTCCTAAATAAATAAGATGAAGATGATGATGAAAATCAATGAAATACAGTCAATACTCTGTTATTAACAAATAACATATCTAAACAATAATTAATTACATCATATAATTTTTTGCTTCGTTCTGTTATGAAAAATTTTCCTAAAAAGACAATTCAAAATTAAAATTTCACAAAAAAAAAATGTCAAACCTCTATATACTACAGTTCTTTTAACAGATTCTGAAATCCATTTTGATGCAAATCGTTCATATAATTGAGTTAATTCAGGTTCATCTGATGCATATAATGGATGAAGATCAATAGCAGATTGATGATCATCATCTAAATAGATTTCATTTGATTTAGCAATGTTAAATATTCTTTTGTTTATTTCCATCAGATTTTTCAATTGCTTGATAAGCTAAACAACAGACTTTATTGATTAAACGACTTCATAATGGTTCAATATTAAATTCGCATGCAACATTTGATACAACAACTAATTATTTTAAACAATTCGTATAAACATGTAATTTAGCTATTAGACAATCATCTTGATTTTCTTGATAATAATTTGATTGACGTTCAATTAGTAAATCAATAAGATTTTCTGCTAATGAATAAGAAACGACTCCAATACTAAGAAGAAATGAATTGATTTCATAACCATAATCTATATAATCAATAAGACCACATATTGTTATATCATCTATAACATTATCTGATCCTATTTCATTATTTGTGGAATTTTTTGAACAAATAAATACTTGACATGATTGAACATAAATATTATCTTTTTTTTTTTAATTATAAAAATAAAATAGATGAACAAATCTGATAAAGATATAAATGGAATATTAGATATTCTTTGACTAAATGTTCTATTCAGACCATCTAATTTAGTTGAATAAGATGAATATTTTGCAGCAATTTCAATAGTTGATAATTGATCTCTCTTTTTTCATTAAAATATCAAATGCTATAGATAATGAAGAACGATATTTAACAGCAAGTAAACCAATATCAAAATATTGTAAAAAACATCGAATTACCTCAGAAAGAAAAGATGGACATAATGGACCATTTTCTATTTTTGAATTCAAATTAAAAGAAATTTTATTATAATTTTTCAACATCTTTAAAAAACAGTTTCAGATGTTGTTTAAATAACTTCTATTGATCGATTCATATCAGGTACAGATGATGGAAGAAATGGAAGTTTAATATTAGCATCTTTTCATAATTTCGAATAATGTTCTTGAAAATTTTCTGCAAAAAAAAAGATAAGAGCTATTGTTAATTTATAATCAACTTTTGTTTTCGATCCATTCGAGATATTAATTTATGTAAATCTGCTACTTTTTTTAACAGTAAGTTCTGTAAGAAAACAATATTTTCCTGAATGTGAATCAATATCTGGTCAATCTATTATTGATGTTTTCCATTGAAGATTGAAGACGATTAGCTATTGATGGAAAACAAAGTTCACATGGAATATATTTACATCGAATAAAATACAATGATTCTTTTTTTCAATGCACGAAAATCATGCTCACTCAGATTTTGATGTTGTTGTCATAAATCTTTAATAAAAGTTTGAATTATTTGTGAATTATCCGAAGAAATATTTGATTGAGGATTAATTGAATTTGTTAATGTTGAAGGGTGTGGATGTATGGGTGTGGATGTCGAAATGGTTGTGGATGAAAAGAAGACCTACACCCACCTTCTGGTACACCATAGATATTAGCTGCTTCCACTGATGAAACTGATCAATTTGAAAACGCTTTAATTACTAATTGATCCCTTTCCAGAGAATATTTTTCATGAGATCGTAACGTTGAAAATTGGCGAATTGATTAATCTTTTTGGATAGATTTGAATAGGCACGATGTAGAAAAGCGATATGCTGAAAAAAAGGGAAAGGTGTAAATCAGCGAAAGACTTTTCGGCGAAGATTTTGAGCGAATAGAAAAAAGCGAAAAAAAATTCAGCGAAATGACTAAACGGCAAAAAATATTTCAGCGAAATGGAAAATAAGCGAACGAATAAATCAGCGAAAACTACAATAAGCGAAGCTTTTTTCCGCGAAAAAATTATCATAGCGAAAGTACATTTGAGCGAATAGCGAAAAAAAAACAGCGAAATTTTTGATAGCGAAAAATTTATTTCTCAGTAAACAGATGATAAAAATCAATAAGACCCGATAAAAAAAAATAAACTATAATTATGAGAAGTTCAAAGTAGTTTTGTAGAACGTTTAGCAACAAGTGTAGATAGTCCGTAAGGACAGCCAATCAAAGTAATTTGTTCTTGTTCGTATCGTTCAGTTAGGGTATCAATTTGCGTTCGACTAATACAGATGTTACTACTTGTTTTTTTTTTGAATACCAGTATTTAATTTTTTTAACTGTTGACGCAATAATAATTCTGCCCATTTCAAACGCTCGAACAAATGCTACACGTTGGGATGACGTTTTTCAACTCGATCGTAGTACGGACTAAAATCATGGACGAAAGAAAGATATACAACAAAGAAAAAAAATAGTCGAATAGCACGTTATTGGGTCAGCATAGAGAAAAATGGACAAAATTCGTTACTTTTGGGTGCACTTCACATGATGAATCATCATCATATAAAGATAATTTGACCTCTTGAAGGAAAAGAATTTCGCTGAAAGTGCTTTCGCGATATTATCTTTCGCTGTTTTTGGAATTCGCTGTCAGTTTTTTCGCTATTTGACTTTTCGCCATGGTACATTTTCGCTGTTTTTTTTCGCCAAAAAAGCCATTCGCTGGAATGTTTTTCGCTGAACGGACACCGGTTCGAAAAAAATAGTGCATAATTTATATAACAGTGCACACAATAAAATCACCAATATCATAGTTAAAAAGCTTCTATAGAGTTGATCTTTATTGTTAATGTTTACTCCAGAAGATCAGCAATAAACGGATGTACTAGAGCACTGATCTACATCGAATTATTTCAAACCATATATAAGTTACAAGGTGAAAGTGTTTTTCTTATTGTAGAAAATACACAAGTTTCCAAATAGATAAGTTACAGTCAATTAAATTACGATTGCACGAAAGAAAATAAAAAAGTAACTGTAAGCAACGAATTTACTTTCCCAGTAGTCAGAGAGAATTTAAAATAAAAATTACACTGATTTACTATCGGTTCAAAATATCAAGTTTGTGTTTGTCACATGCATTATATTAATTGAAAAAGAACCTTGTTTTCGACCTATTTTATCGTGAGCAGAGAAAGAATATGCCAATCGTCTGTCAAACTTGCTCTGTAAAATTGACAGTTAGATAATGTTATTTTTTTCTTTTCTTCCTTCGCATGTCAAACATTGACAAGATTGGATTATTATTTTCAGGGAATATGCATAAAACAAAAAGTATTATTTTGAAGACCTGATTTGACCATACCATTCATCTTTTGAAAAAAATACCATAACTGAGTATATTTGGACGTTTGACCTATTATTAATTGTACATACTTAACATGTCTCGTGCACTGAGATTTAATTGATGTTGATCCGAAATTTCGTCTAGGCATACAAGCAAAGAAAAGAAAGTATCATTCTTTATATGAAAATTTACATTTCAACTATGCGATAGTCCCGTATGAAAATTGATAAAACCATACACGTACGGTAAGGCATAAGTACTATTGGCTAGCTATCAACATGTCATGACTTGTAATGAGACAAATTTATTCATGAAATTTTCAAATATTCAATAATATCTCCTGAAATATGACAGAAAGAAATTGTAGCTTTCCGAATTTATTTTTCTTTCTATGTTCTGATTGAACCACTAGTCTATTGTAGTTGTAGTCATGCTGAAGATATTTTTCAGCGGAACTTTAACTGAATTTTGGTGTCGATCGATGACGAATGAAGAAAGCAGTGAAAGATGATTGGCCTTCAGTTATAATAGCTGGCGCGTTCATTTTATAGAATATTTCATTGAAATCTGCAGACAGAAATGACTGAAATTTGTGGTCTTTCATTTGGCTTGTTTTATGTCGTTGCGTTCGCTTTTAGGAACATGCGCATAAAGCAAACATTTTGAATTTTAAATTTCCTACCGCCAATTGTTCAACTATTTTCACACCTTTAAATTATTTATTAATATGAGAACATGCAGAATTCTCTACTCTTTTCCATAGTATAAAAATAATAAGTTTATGATGTAAAATGACGAATATATAACAGTCACAATACACACACCTGATATGTCTGTTCGTTGTTCATACATTGACTCTATATGAATTGGTATATATGTTCTTTCATTCTTGCATGAAGAATTTTACTCTTCTCTCTTGTAAAACGTTATGACATGGTGTTACGTGATAATTGTTTAGTATAGAACGAGAACTAAACGACTGTAAACAAAAGATGCACTTATTACGTTTGACATCAGTATAACGTAATAATTGTCTTTAACCTAGTAAATAAAGCCTACCATTTTTCTTCATTGAATATATTTCAATGTATATACACTAAGAATTGAATAAAAAATTTTAAAATCTTAAAATCTACTTTCAACTTTGAAGACGCTTATCAGAACATGTTGTATGCTATATGTCATAGTCGTTTCTGTTGTCTTGTTCTCTTGCTCGATATAGATCATAATGCACGCTTCTTATAAGCATTTTCTTTCGTTCTGTTGCTTCCTCTTACGACTGTATACGTCTATAGTATGGCATTTCCCTTTCTGTTCTGTCAGATTTTACGATGATATGAAAATGAAGACGTAAAACGCTTCTTACGTATTACGGCCCATCATTAGCTCTAACGCAGCCGAGAGGAAACAACTGACCTATATATAGGTCGGTACGATGATCAAGAGGAGAGAATGAAATCAAACCAGAATTAGTGAGTGACATATATGAGAGAGATAATTATAGAACATAGAAGAAATTAGTCAATCCCTCTTAAAAGATGCTGTGTGAGGATACATAATAGTCATACTCTATCTATGTGATAAAGAATGACTGAAAAAATATATATAAACGGGACACACTTTAGCAAGTGTGTTTTTTCTTTATTGTTCAAAATTATTGCTTGACATAGCAAAGCTATTCAGTTAATACTATTAATAAATATAATACAATGTGTCAGAATTAATGGTCATTAGGGATAAAATAGAAATTGTCAATAAGAATACAATTTCATAGAGTCACAAATCAACATAAAATCGATCGTTCTGTGGCTTATAGTGTAATGGCAGAGAAAATTTGGATAAAACAAAGAAACGTAAATAAAGTCACAGACGGACATAGAATTGATCTTTCTATCGCTCATGTAACACAAAAATAGAGGGCAAAGAACACGGCGCAAAAAGAAAAACGTATGTTTCTCTAGCACACGAGAGTCACAGAACGAATGATGTTTACTTCATGCTTATTATCTTGATGTACTTGTTATTCAAAAATAAATGTTGTTATGATCTGTGTTAACAACACAAAATCATCGTGTTTTAGATGTGTGTTTTCTCTTTCTTTTTCTCTTTTCCTCCTTTTATTTGTGTTCTCTGATGTCTAGTTGTCTTTTTACATGTAGAAAGACTAGTGTTTCGATTGTTCTTCTTAATATAAGTATAGTTATCAATAAAACTAGAGATTAATCTTACTAAATGTATAACGCTCTGTGATGAATCCGCATTTTCTATTTTCAGATTCAACTTATGTCAATGTAGATTTTTCTTTTCTTGCTTGCATATGTATTAAAGATTCACATGGTTAAATTAACGAACATAGAAAATCCACTGGTAAAGTTCAATAACATCACGAATAACACATCCTCTACTTTCTTCTATCCTGATATTTCTCTCCATCGATCTGTTCGCTTTTGGCTTTTACTTCTATTCAACAGTTCATCAGTTTTCTGCTCACTATTTCTTCTCTATTACCTATTCAAAAATCAATCATATCGTCAAATATTCTTTAATCATACTATCATTTTTCATCTTCTATTCAGTCTTCCATTTCAATTCATCGATATTCCATTGAAACTTATCTTTTTTCATGTTGGCTTTGTATGGCCTCAATCATCTATTATTTGTCTCATATGGTGGTTTATCATCATTGGTTTAAATGGAATCGTAAATATTTTTATAGCATGGACATCAATTGAAAGACATATTCTCATTTTTCACAATCAATGGATATCAAATGGAAAAAAGAAATTCTTTTTTCATCAGCTACCTTTCACAATACTTTTTTCATATTCAATATTCTTTTATGTATACGTCATGTTCTTTCCTCCGTGTATAAATTCGTTCAATTATACACTTCCAGTTTGTGGTTTCTCTCCATGTTATTATAATCATTCAATACTTGGTATATTCGATTTCATGCTTCATTGGACTATACCCACTCTGTGTATTATTGTGGCTAATTTGGCTCTTGTATTTCGTATTATTCGACAAAAATTACGTCTTCATCGACCAATTCGATGGTGTCAACAACGTAAAATGACTCTTCAACTTGTGCCTATTTCTTTTCTCTACGTTTTTTTGACAACACCAATTATTGGAATTACTCTTGTCCAATATGTTGGCACTGGACAATCACATCTAGTTGTTCAGATTCAGTTATATATTGTATTCGCTGCTGATTTTATCTTTTTACTTCTACCGTTTACATATTTGATCTCATTGTCTGATGTTTGGGAAAAGCTTTGGATTCGCCTACAAAGACGGCAACATCAAACTGATACACCAAAGAGCTGTCGCACTTATCAAGCAACTGTTTTATAGATGAAAAATTGTCACATGGTAATATAATGGTTCTTAAATGAAAAGTTATTTTTAAAAAAATTTACTTTTTTCTGTAAAAAGCTTCTCAGCTCAAACCCTATATAATTAGAATGTGAAACATGATGGAATCGATTCCCATGCATATGAAAATATTTGTTACTTTATTGATCAAAAACAAAAACAGATTTCGTGCCTTGGTATTTCAAATTGATTAGATAACTCCAATGCCTTAAAGTTTTTAGTAGTCTATGGTCCAAAAATCGATAATTCCATGGTTAAAAAATCCATAATTGCATATTGACATGCTTGGCACGGTCTGCAAGGAGAGTATTTCAACTTTCTTGCTCTACAACTTGAACACTCGTTTTGAATTGTGTTTCACAAATTCATTTGCAATGAATATCAAAATTATTCATTCAAACTATTCTCATCTTTTGTTTCTTTTGCAATACTAAAACGAAATAAATTTCTGATCTAAAGCTATATCATTCAATAGCATCTGTTAATAATTTATGTGTAAAGATTGCTAACCTTCGATTTAGTTCATTGATTTTGTATGAAATGGATGAATCATGATGACATCTACTACGGGGTGTGAGTGTGAGTATCTTTCTAAACTACTCTCACGCGACCACTCACACCCACATTTTCATCAAATCACTCGGAGAGTTACTGGGGTAGCATAGCCATTCGAATATTTACCTTCAAAAATCTGACAACGTCATTCGAAAGCGACGAAAAGTGTTGATTAGGCTTCGATATAACGCAGGTGAAGTACTGTGTATGTTTCGACAGCAGTCATCGTCAATTGTTGACTTTCACTTTCAATCAGTTGTTTTAATCGTTTCGGCAGTTGTCACACCAAAAACTGATTTACGCTGTTTTCCTGGTGCAGAAGAAACCCCATTTTATCATTCGAAATCGTTTACTTTCATTTCTTCCTTTCAAAAATTACCGACAAACGAATATTAGCAGTTTTTATTTTGAAGAGTTAATCAACTTTCAACTGCAAAACATATAGTCACTTTCATCTTGCCCCTCTTTATCTACGAACGAATTCAAAACTAATTTTTCCATAAGTTGATGCCATTGATAATCAGCTCTTTATTAAAACACGCGAAAATATTTTTGAGATAGCTACGCATATGCATGAATAAGGATATAGAATTTACTTGAAAAATCATATAAGAACGCATAGTAAGTAAACGATTATTTCTATCTAGAATACCTATTCTTCAGACTTCGATGATCACTGATCATTACGCAATCGAACCCTACTGCTTAATTTTCGACTTACATACTAATTACATGTTTTATTCACGCGAACTGAAGTTAGGCACAAATATTTCACTTTTAGCTATTTCGAGGCAATCTTATCTTTTTCTCTTTGGTTTCATGATGGGAGAGTAAATGAAAAGAGAACTGATATTTATACTTTTCGGCTGAAATTTCCGTCGAGAAGAAAAAATTAACCAAACTTTTTGTATATTAGGATTTTTTCCATACTGAGCTATACCGATATAAAAAATGATACTTCTTCATAATCATACTTTTTAGTAAGCAATAGTTTGCAGTTTTGCATGAAACACTTATTTCAATAAGACGGTGCAAACGAGAAAGACTCATTAAACTCATCCTCGAGATATATCCACAGCTAGCCCAAGTGATGACACAGTAAAAACAGATTTTTTCTCCTTCAAGCCTGAGTGTCTATGTAAATGAGGGTAGGTAAGTGGATGGAATGGTATATTATTCACTCAAACACACTCATACCACATTCTCAGCTCGTTCGTATGTTTCTATTGATTATACTGATCTGCAGCTCTAATCTCATAGCTGTCTTTGAACACTGCGCATCGATTGCAATTTTTTTCTCTGGACAGGCTTCGTTTGCTGTTCTTCTAATGCAAATGGTAATCTTTATCATAGTGAGATGCGTTTGAAAGCAACGCGACTTCAAGCTGTTGCAGCGAGGTTTCGTTTCTTTTCTCATCAACTGCTGTTTCTTCTCTTTACATGAAGAATAAAAAACATGCGAGAAAAATCATCATGTGTGTTTGTTACTGAATAGTATGGAATGATTAATATTTGAAATGGAGGACGGTTGACAAATAACGCTTCTCTTAGATTTTCGTTTTTGACGCTTGTCATTTCAATTCTTTTTCGTGTTCGATTTGGGTGGATGTGGGGTGCGGGGTGTGGGTGTGGATGGTGTGGGTGTGGGTATGGGTGTGGGTGGAATGTGGGTGTGAATGTGGGTGGGTATGGGTGCGGGTGTGGGTCTCGATGTGGGTGTGGGTGTGGGTGTGGGTGTGGATTTTCACTCAACCCACATCCACAATACCCACCCGCCTTTTTCTTTGAAATGGGTAGTAGAAACCAAGCGCTGCAAAGCACCGCCCTTTTTGCTATTACATAAGAGCGGGGAACACTTGAAAGGTACCATCGCAATTATTCGCGTTATTGGCTGCTGCGCGACACTCACTGGCGAAAGCCTCTGCCACTCCCTCTTTCTCTTCCAGACGCAGAATAAACAAAAAGAAAACAAATGCGTTTTTTCTTATTCGGTTCTTCGTACACATTCTATTTCAACGGCGAGTGCATGGGACGAAAGTAACCCATGAAGAACGTTGAAAATAACAACACTCGCGCCTGCTCTTCCGCGGGTAAAGAAGTGCTCATACTTCGAGAAAATGTCTCTAATTCACAATTTTTTTTGACGAAGATCGCTGTATCTCCGCAGAGCGAAATATCGTTCCGACATCGGCATACTAACTTTTGTTCACAGTACAGACCATCAATGCTCATGATGACAGTGCTCTTTATATTGCATGTTGCAACGGAGATCTCTCGGCTGTACAAATACTACTGCCTACACTAACTTTGGAGCAGATTGGGGTGTGGGTGTGGGTGTGGGTGGGTGTGGGTGTGTGGGTGGATGTGGGTGGGTGTGGGTGTGGGGTGTGGGTGTGAGTGTGGGTGGGTGTGGGTGTGGGTGTCGGTGTTCTTTTCTGAGTAACCACACCCACACCCACACCCCCACGCCCACCCTCCACCCCCACACCCACCCACACCCACACCCCCACCCCCACCCCCACACCCACACCCTAGGCTCTCCCCATAGTGATCCTATAGGGCCTCTATAGGACCACTATAGGTTATGAACAGGTTAATGGACACTTTGATTATCAGAAATTTATTCTACAGCCGCACTGTTGGGAAGAATGATTATTATATCTGTTAATAACTCAACAAGCTCTACAAATTGGCATTACTAAAATTTAAACAGCGATTGATCAGTTCGTGGTGTTCCCTCGTTAGGTGAAAGATAAAGTGAAATATAAAATAAAATTTTTAAGTTAACTAACCAACGGACAATCTTGAACAATTTTTGAATAAAAAATGGCACCAGCATGAGACATAACTGCTGTTGATGAAAAACCTTGAAGAAGTGCTTTATGTGCACCCAGCAATAAAATATGGCATGAAGGCATTCTTGTTAAATTAGTTAAACCTCCAGCCATGCTCATTAATTTTGCTGCTGTTGATGCACCAACAATAATTGATAAATTTGGTGCAATAAATGTCATTCTGGATTCAACATATGATATTATTGTTTGTTTATTTTCACTTAAATTCATCGCTTATGAAAAAAAATAAGAAAAAAAATTGAAAATTATAAAATAAATATTTTATAAAAATACAAACCATTTTGACATGCCTCCATAACACGCTCTAATTCTTCTTTGGTTAAATTTTTTCTAAAAAATAAAAAAAGAAAATTAAATCAATTAAATAAATAAATAGAATGAACAGATACCTTTGAGTTGTTGAAGCTGATACACTAACAATCATAATGGTTGCTGATATCAAAAATTTTCGTAGATTTTCATTACGTGTTGATTGATCAACATGATTATCTAATTCCTTAAAAAAAAATACATCAATAAGTTTTTCAAAATGAATGAAATTTTTTTTATAATCAAATAAAAAATAATTTACCCGAACAGTTTTAAGATAGTCCAATGGTAATTGAACAAGTTGTTCTAATTCTGGAAATCTTTTATTGTATATTGTTCGAATGAAATTGTGAATAATATCAATTTCATTATCAATTTTCAAAAGTAGATTATTAGCATCAACAATAAGCAAATATTCTAGATCATGTTCAATAGGACCTTGAATTTCTATTGTTGATGTGTTCTGTAAAAATCAATTTTTTTCATTGTTTCTTTCAGCAATAATGAATCTTTTAATTTAGCAACAGAATGAACACGATTATTATCTAATAAAGAATTAATTGCAGCAGATATTTGATCAACTTCCATCGAATAATAATCTTTTAAATTATTTTGATCATTATTTAAGGAGACTTGGCCTCCATCCATATCTTCAAAATTGTGGAGAAATCAGTCAGCAAGTGACATTTTTCTATCTAAAATAATACAGATTAATCAATTATTCGTTTTTTTTTCTTTTATATTTTATCAAATAATTTTCATAATAACATGTCATTGTTACAAAACATATAATTTCATATTAGAATGTCAGCTAATATTATGTAAATTGGCAATATCATACCTCTCAAAAAAACACAGTGAAATACAAGATCTGTCCGTGTAGAACAATAATTTCACAAAAACAAATCCTGTAGAACACTAATATATCTAACTAGAGATTGATATTGCACAATTACAGACACTATAACAGTGTAAATGTAAAGATAACAATACCATGAGTGTGTTTCGTTCTTCAGCTGTATACATTGGGCCCATATAACACAGAGTGTACTAAAGTATTTTTGAATATATGAAGACACATATACATTTGTTCTGTTGTTTTCGACTATATCATTATAGATGAAAGCGACAGAACGAGTGGATTGCATATTCATATATCCAAAAATACTTTAGTTCCCTCTGTGTTATAGAGGCCTAATGTATACATCTGAAGAAAAAAAACACTCATGGTATTGTTATCTTTACGTTTACATTGTTATAGTGTCTGTAATTGTGCAATATCAATCTCTGGTCAGGATCAGAGACCGAAACGAGTCAAAAAAAACCGATTCGACTTGAGTCATCGAGTATTTGTTCAAATGACTAATGTTTATAAATACAGCTTTATTTAATGCAATCAGCGTTCCGAATGAGAATTCGAAATATAGTGAGATACCGCACTCTTTTTCCGGAGGTAAAGTGTTATGTTGCACTCCGTTTCAAGAGCCAAAGTGCACCAAAGTGCAAATATATAAATGTATCTAGAAAAAAGAAGTAATAGTTTATATTTTATACTCAATACTTCTATGTGCATGTACAAATATAAATAATAATCAAAAAACAATCTGTAAATCATCATTGAGTTACAATTTTCACAAATAAAATACAAAAAAGAATATAAATACGAATACAAATCATCATTAAATCATAAGATTAACAAAAAACTAAACCAGCAATGAGGATTATCTGTACATCTAGATATTCATTTATGTTCACCAAATATAAATACAATAGAAAACAAAAAAAAACCATATAATCGTTACTGCTCATTTGAGAGAACAAAAACATAACTGACTTATTTATCATCATAATCACTATCTTCATCTGCACTATGCATGTCAATGCAATCATCACAAAACCAGTTTGTCGAATCTATAGACACTCCTAATTCAATTCGGCATCTATTGCAAAGCCATCTTGAACAATTATCTTCTACCCATTTGTAAAATTCTTTTTGGTGACAACATTGAATCGCATTAACTTGTTCTGGATCATCGGATGCAATCACTCTACCGCACCCGTTCGCACCTGAGCAGAAAAAAAGATAAAACAAATCAAAGAAAAAAAAATTCAACGACTCACATTTAATAGCTTTTACTTTTTGTTTCTTTCTTTTCACTTCATCATCAGGATTTGATATTAATTTTCGTTTTGGTTCTTGTCGACGTGTTTGTCTTGTAGGCTCGTAATCATCAGCAACATCGATAAGTAATTTAGTTCGAGTGTATCGACGTTTACTTTCATAATCATTCCATGATTCAAATGCTTTTTCTGTAACAAATTGACATCTTGCACTAAAAAGAAATAAAATAAATAAATATCGATTTCAACAAGCCAATAAAGTATTTACCTGCGTATATCATCAGTTAAAAGCAGACGAACATTCAGCAATACATCCAATGTGTCAACCATTAATCGACTACGTCCATTTGTTTGTACACGATTAGCAGCTGAAAATCCACGTTCACATTCAGCAGAGTTAGATGCAGATAATAAATAGATTGATAATAGCACTAGAATATTTTTAAACTGTTCAGGAAATTGTTCATTTACAGTTTGCTTATGCAAAATAAAGGACTTCCAAAAATATTTTCGTGTATGACTCATTGAAGTTTTTAAATATTCAGCCAACGGTATTTTAATTAATTCCCATTCAGCTTGTACTGCAGTTTTATCAAATGATGGTAAATTTTTGTATTTTTCTCGAACATAATTTAATGCTTTTCGTCCATATTCGGGTTGATCAACGATTTCTCTATGATGTATAAGATAATTCGGATCGAATAATATTGATAAATTTTCACGTAAAGGACATTTTACGAAGCGCCGATCTATTTCTTGAAGCAATCTTTCGATATGATCACAACATTCTTGAGATAATTTTTTTCGATCAGCTGGTTCGATCTTAAATAGACCATAAAAATGCTTCTTCGATTCTCGAATATAATTCGATAACGATGGACCCCACACTGGTGGCACTTGTTCAATCCATTTTCGTAACATTTGCTTCTTTTCATTAATTAATTTCATCAATTCCAAGTATGAAAAGTCATCATCTTGTAGTACTTTTGTTACTGGGCCTGAACAACAGAGAAAAAAAATACTTCGTTTATCTTAAAAAAAAAGAAAACTTTACCCAAAACACACTCATGTAGATCATGATGAAAGTGTATAATAAATAAAAAATCGTCACGTATTAATTGTTTCCGTAGTTCACTGGAGATTTCACGATCTGTATTGGAGCACGTCCAATCTGAAGATATTTCTTCAAGTACTATAAAGAATGCTTGTGAATCTAAAGAAAAAAGCCAAACAACATATATCTCACTAAAGACAAATATGGTTCGATTTACTCGGTTGAATATTCTCTATAATTGGCTTTATGCTATCTCGAATACATGACCAGCTTATATCAAATAGACGCTTAAATTGAAGCTCTGGTTTTTCCAAGAATCGTTGCCAGTTTTTTAATTTTGTTTGACGACTTGAACTACGTGAAAAGTAATTATATATTTTACTAATACACGATTCTAATTTAGAAATTGATGGACTTATTGGTCCCAATTTATTATCATCTGAAACAAAAAGAAGTATTTTAGTATCACATACTCTTTCTTTCGGAATTTATTAAAATGCCCTACCAGTAAGAGTATAAGCAGCTTGACTACCAACAAGAGAAAACGTGTGAGCCGCACATGGGCTACCGCCTATCCATTCAGCATCCACTTTTTGACGTAATTTCTCAATAACCTCATTATGAACCCCTATAGAAGAGCAGATTAAAAAAAAATAAAAAGCAACTGTTCTAATTTATCATCAATAAAAAACAGAGAAAACGGTTTTACTCACCCGTGAATGTACTTGCATTATCCGACGCGAACCAACAAGTATTTTTAGGATTTATATCGTCTTTTCTCCACATCCAACTAATTGAATCAACTATATTTTGAGCTCTACCATCGCCCTCGAGATCAAGTAAGCAATAATATGATGTTTTCGGTTCGAAATTGTCCAAATATCTAACGTATACAATTAAAGTTTTTTGAGTAGTCCTTGACGTGGATTCGTCCATCATCCAACCTAAACAGAAAAGATATGAATCAATTATTCATGGAGAAAATATGGATACTTACTGACAGTGCTACTTTTCTTTATTTTTTCTATCAGTTCTTCATGTAGATATTGACTTACATTTTCAAGAAACGATAAAGCTGCGTCAGCATTCCTGTATGACACACCACTAACTTCAGAAGGCAGCAATTTCACACCAGTTTTTTCGAGTAACGAACATAATGAACTAAAAGTATTTAACGATTGATCTGTCTGGCAAATATGAATAGATGATATGATCAAATTTTCAATAGCTTCTTGATGTTTTGATCGTTGTTTTGATTGAGTGCCAACCCATCCTGGTTGTAATTTTGAACTAACTTGGAGTTCCAGTGCTTGTGCATTTTTATGTGTTTCACTTTGCTGATGTTGCTTAATTTTATCTATCTTCAACGTCTTATAACCAATTGTACACCAAAGATTCTCTTGACCTATAAAAGTGAAATTAGTTTTAATGAAGTTTCTAAAAAATCAAATTTATTCTGAAATTCTGAAAGACAATCTTAACTAGCTTACCATTGCTATTTTTTGTCTTTGTGTATTTTTCGCATAATCGACAACGCATTGATATATTATCCGTTGAGTATAACCAACAAATAAGTTTTTCTTTTCGTGTACCAAATAAATCGAATTCATATGTCTTGTACATAGCTTCTTCCTTTTTTTCCCAACTTTGTTGATATGTTGCTAAATATCGTGTACGTTTAGATGTTGATTCAGTTCTTATAACTTTTTCCACAGGTATTGAAATAATGTTATTTCGATCTGTTAAAGTTCTTGAAGACGGGACTGATGATGGTGATGAATTATCATCAATTGTTTCGATTTCAACCTCGTTCACATTATCTTCAAGTAACATGGGTTCTTCAAGTAAAACTGCTGTATCATTCGAAGGCATTTGGTCGTTACTGTTATCTGACTTTTCTTTTGATTGATCAAATGATGACCTGTTTGACTGAAATAAAAATTTTTTTATAGATATTGTTTGAGAGTGTCTGGATGACTGTTCTTTATTCATTATCTGAAATAAGAATAAGAAAAGACTATTTGTTTGAATCAAATAACATAATAAATAAAAATATTCATTGTAAAGATGAAACAACCAATATAAATTAAAATGTAAAACAAAGTGAAAAATGTTATAATAGAGTGCAGCACGTTCATTCTATTTTTTCGACTGGGGTGCAAAATAGCGTGCAAATCAAAATAAGTGCGTGGCGCACTCACTTTGATTTTGCTTGGTGCACTCATCATTCGGAACACTGAATGCAATGCCGTCAATTAATCTATGAATAGACAATAATACAGTGAATATAATGAAAGTCATTGTTCGCTATTCATTTCAGTCCATTCAACACCGCCGGTTCATTATTGTTTAGCCATTGACATTGACTGTCTGACGAATTCATTGTGATGAATTAAAATTGTATTGTTTTAATAAAGCCAAAGCTAACAAGCATTCTTGCTGAGAAAGAATAGAAAGAGCCACCAGAAAATTCCAAAAAGTCGAATCTCTCGAGTCAAACTCGACTCGACTCGACTCTGGAGTAGATTTTACTGGATTCGACTCGTTTTCGGTCTCTGGTCAGAATATATTAGTGTTCTACAGGATTTTTTTTGTGGAATTATTGTTCTACAGGGACAGATCTTGTATTTCGCTGTGTGTCTTTGAGAGGTATGATATTGCCAATTTACATAATATTAGCTGCCATTCTAATATGAATTTATAATTTAATAAAGTCGCTCATGATTTTATCATGAGTAATCAAGCAAACATAAAATGATTTTATACCCAAACAGGATATTACTTCTTTCTTATTGCATCAATCAAAAGAGCCTAATTACTTCATTCTATCTAACAATGAGTCATGAAATAGGTCAGAATTTTTTGAGGTTCGGGGATCCGTAACGGATTGACCTATTTGTATGCATGTAGCTAAAACAGCCTGCTCCAGTACAGGTTCACTAGATTGAGGGCTTACCCCTTCCTTGCACCAGGCCAACTTCACTGGGCCTGGCCCGTATCATAGTTTTCCACTTCTTTAGAAGATGCCATTCAAACCTGTACAGATCTTCTTTCTCCAATGTAGTAGTGAAAAACTGAAGAGAAGTGCGTTTCAGTGTATTTTTTGTTTCGATCGTCATTTGATAAGAAATAATTTTCGTGACTCAGACCACCCCAAACGTTTGGAGATATGCTTTTCTTTTGCGTAAAATCGAAAAAATATTCTTTTGTGAACGTTCAAGAACTGAAGAGCGACAGTAGTGTTCAGAATTCGACTCTTAGAGATGTAAACTAAAGATTTGGAGTTGAAAAATATTTCGAGGAGATTTCCATTGGATAAAATTTCTTGCTATAAAATTTTCCTTCAATGAAACCTTATTCTACGAAAACTTCACAATTCGTTTTTGCCTTACTTGCTGAAGCTCGCATTTTTGAACCTAATGATTAGATAATTACAATCTAGTGGAAATTCCAGTCATTCAACTGTGTAAAAAAAAGAGAAGCATGTCATGACGAGTAATGCATGATATCATTTGAATAGAAGATTCCGTAAAAGTTTTCGCATATCATTAGAAAGTTTTCAGGTTGAATGCATGTATTTCTCAGTTTTCAAGAAGTTTTTTAAGCGATATCCGACCTGTTAATAGATATTATCAAACTGAGGTCAAATCTTCTAATTAATAACAAATTATCATTTAAAGATTATTGAGTTCATGCAATAATATTTTTGATTCTGTAAACTAAATATACACCAATGGTATTGTTTCGAAAAAAAGGAAGTGACTAAATTGTTAGAAATTACATCATACACCCATTTTCACGCGTCACATCCTAGAAATGTAATATAAGGTTTCTTTGAAAAGTGACTCATTCATTTTGTAGTCAAATAAAATATTTACATATGCATACTTGACAACCTACTCAAAAAACCACTTTCGCTTAAAAAGATGCCTAATGATGTTTATTTTACTTTTTCAAAAGAAGAAAAAAAAAAGAAGTGACACATGTAATTATGTAATATATATAAATATCATGGTGAAACAGGAAGCCATGAAAGAAAGAAATCATTGATCCTTAGGAGATTTAATAGTCAAAGCATCTCGCTCAATATGCATAGTCAGAATGAAACTAAGTGTGATGATGCAGAAGTCATTACTTTGATTTCTTTTATTTTTTAGAATAAGATGATGAACTCTTACTTTTCTTTGCTATTTCTACTAATGCACATTGGGCTTGTATTAAACAAAGACCTTCCAGGGTTAGATTTTATGGCCACAGGATTTGATGCGTTGAAAATGATTAATCTGAACGAAGCACCTTCAGCATCGGATAAACTCAAGTTTCGTCTTTTTAACTTGGATGATGGTCTTGGTAAAACTTATTTGTTCGATGCCGACGGTATACAACATAGCTACACAACATCTCGTTACGTCCAAGCCACAAAAATCAACATGAAAACAAAAGTTGCTATTGAAACAATCAGCAAAACGTATCAAGAATTTCGACGTAGGTAAGAATACCATTTATTTTCTTTCTTTTCCAAATTTTGCTATTCTAAACATGTAATTCATAGTTACTTTCGATCATACTCCTTTACTGTTGGTATTCCTATACCATTAGGAGTAGCTACATTTGATATTTCTTTTGGATATCATCGTACTTTGTCCCAAGTCTATGAAACGATTACCAAGAAAGAAGGATCGGTCGGAATATCATCAGATTGGTGGGGAATATACAATGTCCATCTGGCTCCAACATATTTACTAAAGTAAGTCTTTCGAAACTCCTGGGGGGGAAAGTGTGTAATCTCTTTGCTGAGTTTTTATTTCTAAAATCACTGTTTGCTGTGCATGTATATTAATATCGACCGATACTCTACTTTTTTTCGGATTCGCTTACATTTACTAGACTTTTTTGTCCTTATAATAGATTTGATTCACTGTTCACAGCAGCTCTTGATAAACTCGTCTCTAACCCTACGACATCAAAAGATCAAGCCTACTACAATCGTCTCATCGAAACATTTGGCACTCACTATGTCTCAGCAGTCATTGTTGGTGGACTTGGTAATCTTTATACATACATTACTAGTAATTATGCAAAAGAATATAGTCGTTCAGCTGTTGAAGAAGGAATTAGAATTGGTTTTAGTGTTGCTATGAACAGCGGTTTGGTAGGAGCTGGAGGAAATAGTGTTTATACTTGGGGTGAAGAAACATCCAGTCTTACTGAAGAATTCAAACAAAATTCTGAAATGCAAACGAAATTTATTCCAGCTGTTATAATCTCACCTCAGAATGAAAGACGACAGTGGGATGTTTGGAAGAACCAAACATTATTGGAACCAGCAGTTGTCAACCGTACACTTTCTCCTCTTGTCGATCTTCTTCTTGACTATCCAGATGAAGTTCAAAAGCACTTGCAGGCAACCATTGATTATTACCTTCTCAATGGAGTTCTTCCAACGTTAAATCAAGTGTTAAGTAGCAAGTCCAGACGAAAGAAACGTGCTCTCATCAATTTGAATCAAGCCAGGCCAATACCAGGTCTTGATGTTGTGGGTTGTGGATTCGACATTGGTGATATTGAAAGTCGTCAATGCCTCTTTGACCTATCGACAAATACGAATACTACTTCTTCGTGGATTGATGTCTATAACAATGATAAAACTTACATGATTCCACCTAATTTTTTTGTCTCAGATAAACGTGATGCCAGTGCAATGTATGAAAGCAGATTCTTCAAAACACTTGATGAATTCTTTCAAATGTCTATCTACAGTATACAAGAAGATAATAATGGCTTCCTTGGCTTAGGAGCAACATCAAAACGTAAAGACATTATTGAGAAATACCGTCAATTCTACGACTATAAGTATCAAATGGCTTGGACACGAAGACAAATCTCAATGTACACACTTTCCCTAGCCACGTTTCCAACCCCACAATTCAATGACATAACGCAACAAGCTATTGATCAACTACCTAATACATTTGATAACAGCTCCATTTCAAATATAAAAAAATGGAAAGCATTCTTCAATGCCTATGGAACACATTTTGTTGCCAGTTCAGACATGGGTGGTTTATTGTGGGCAGAAGATTATTTTGAAGGATGTTTAATTACAAAATATAGTGAAAGATGGGTTAGAGAACAATTGAGAAGAAGTTATTGGTTTTTTGGTGATATAACCTATTCAGAAAGTTATACAATGAATGTTGATCAAATCTACAAAACATATAGGTTATCTATGTCAAAATTGATTGGTGGTATTGATAATAATCCAGGTAAAGCCTCCTCAATTGAACCCTATGTGATTAATGCTTGGATTTCAACACTTAAAAATCATCCACAACCTATTAATTATCGTCTTCTACCAATTTACACACTACTTCCAAAAGGTGATAAAAAAGCAGCAATGAAAACTGCAACATATTATTTTCGTTTACAAGCAGCTGCAGATGCAAATCTCTACATCCAACGTCTGCAAACACATCCAAATCCACCACCTCTACCAAAATTAGATTGTTCTCCAACTGCACGACAGAGAAAACGTGCTATCAAGAGCTCTGCATTCGATCTAACAAGAGCACGAAAAAGTCTTTGTCCAGTTGTTGGATTTCGAGGAACATTCTGTCCAGGTGATCCAACTTGGAGTATCAATTTCACAAACTCATCACTCACCTCTAAAGCTCTATCACTCTTGCCACGACGAAATTTACCAAACGGTGTGGGTATGGCTATTGACATTAGTAATGGAAATGTTCTTTTGCCAGCTCTGCAACTCACGTATCCTCTCTCTCTTTCATCTGGTTCTGTATGGAAAGATCCACATTCTGGTCGAATCTTTATCTTGCCGAATGAAGTTAGTCTCGAACCATTGAATGATAATTCACTTGATGTTAATGTTAGTTTGTATTCCACTCCAGCTGAATTCATAGATGCATGGTTACGTGTAGGAGTTGATAGTGATTGGTCTGCAAGTCTTCTCTCCAATCTTCAAGACATTTCGAATATTGATTCGACATATTTTTCAGATGATCAAGGAACTGCTATTGCACAGAATTATAGTAAACTCTATAATCTACGTGTTAAAGGAATTGATGATTCAATTTCACTACCTTTGAACTCATATGCTCGTACTGCAATAAATGCACTAACTGCTACTTATGATGAGGATCTTTACAATGCATTTTTCAATGCTTGGGGAACTCATATAGTTGTTGAAACAACAGTTGGTGGTATTACTGAAAAACAAATTCTATTTCAAAAATGTTTAAATTCAAGTGTAGCACGGTTAAATGTTAAAGCAGAACTTCTTTCAAAACGTTCATGTATCAATGAAGATTATCATAAATGGCGGAAATCATTTAGTGATCGTCGTATTGGTGGAAATGTTGATCTGATTCAAGATACAAATGAATGGTTTCGTACACTAGCTTATGCTCCTGCAATGATTTCCGCTAAACGTTATGTTTCATGGACTGATATTGTAACAAATCCATCTATAAAACAAAATTTGCAAGATGCAATTAACAGACGAATTAATAATGCCAATGAAGATCGACAAGAACAAGTAAATAAAGTGTTTGAACAACGAAAACTTAAAAATATTCCAGCTAATTTGATCCTGTGGAGAGTAACTCAGATTGATGATTTAACGAATTCTTCGGTGATTTCATACCCAATAGCTTCTATTCCTGCCCTCCTTCAAAATATTAACATTTGCGGTTCGGGTCAAACGCAAAACGAACTTTTAGGCTCTTCTTGTACATTTACAATCAAGATGACTGCTTGTGGATTACAATCAAATTCTCTTACTGATAGAATTACAGAAGTACCCATTTCATATGAAAGAAATTTAGTTACGGGAGATTTTCGTGTTACAGCTTTGAGACAGTATGGCATTGGTGGAGATAAAACTCCATTCAAAAGTAAGTTTAGATTTGTTTCGTAAGATATATCATTTAAGTCATTTTTTTTTGTTGTATTTTCTTTAGATTATGATCTTGTTGGTAACTGGGTTAGAAGTGGTTGTTCAGAGATTATAAATAATCAATGTGGGCTATTAGCACTGGGTAGTGTTCATCGAGTTCAATTATGTACACGTTGTTATGTGCTTTGTGCTAACGCGATGAACACTGATTTAGCAAGTCGTTGTACATGTCCATCATTGGCTGACAATAATTGTCCAGCTTATTCGGAAGCAGGACCTTATCAACCATATTGCAATAACGAAGGATGAGGAATGTCATGGCTAGTTCTATGACAGTTTTTTTTTATTGCTTACTCTGTTATCCTATATTCATGATTTCTTCTTTTTTTTATTCCTGAATAATTACATAACACAATAATATTAAGTTCATTTCTTTGGAAGCTGTTATAAGGCACGATACCAATCTGAAAAATCTTGCAATCATCCATTCAAATCGATCTGCAATCTCAATTTATATCCACATGAATTCGAAAAGAAACTATTATTTTGTCATACTAAAACATTTTTGCTTCTGAGTAGATATCCGTTTGCTTTTCGAAAACAAGTTGGAAACAGATGAATTCACTATAATTAGCAGAATTCGAAACGATAATCAAGAAAACTTTTTACTTCTATCACTGGTTTGAGTCATGTCTTCTGATATAGAAAATGCCACACTTTTCAGCTTCCAAAACATCACTTTTCAAGATATATGTTAGTCACAGCTATTTCAAGCCAAAATTGGATCCAGTCATTGGAAATTTTTTTCAAGCCAAGTTAAGTCATGTTTCAAACTGGTTAGGTCAAAAATGACTCGACTTTCCTATTAATGCACAATTACCATGTTACATACTTCACTTACGGCCTAACTCAACCATTTCTTTCTCTTGGTTAAATAGATTTATTAGGATGAAAAGCAAAAAACAGATAACTCATGGAAAAAAAAATTCATTTCAAAACTTTCGTGTCTCATTTAGATTTAACACTTGGTTTTTCTCAAATATTCAAAAATGTATGCAATATTAAGTCCTGCACAATATATTTTATCATTGCTTTTGACTGATGCATACTTCTAATGAGTGCATGTCCATAAAATTCATCTTGTTTGACAAGACTGTTCACTTGCATTTCAGTTGAAAATGGTTCATCAGTCAGACGAAAGATATCTTTCATCAGATAATAGTACAATCGAAATGGATAAAGTATTGTGTGCATTTCATTGTATGTATTATGGTATTTCACATAACATGAAGTTAGAATACCATTGACTAATAATGTGCCTGTGTATGTCATAGGAGTAATGAAACCAGTTTTGTAAAAGACTTCAATCGATGTGATAGATACAGGAGTCAGATTCTGAGAGCTGGTTTCAGCCATCAAGAGATAATCACTAACTTTTAATTCATTTGCAGCAACCATAACTGAACGTTTTTCACGCATATTGTATGTCATGATTAAATGATCACCAGTCAGACTTAGACTTTGATTGAAGGACGTTGTAATGGTGTAGAATAGAGCTGAATGAGAAGACTTTTTGTTTTTTATATTCAGTTGTAGTGTAAAAAACATGACTTACCTTCCACCTTTGGTCCTGCGTGTAATATCATGATGATTTCATCTTTGACAATGTAGCCTTGTTTGTCAACCGAATAGACTTTATCACCACTGCGTAGATATTTCATTTGTTTTCGAGAGCCATCTTGTAGCGAAACAAAATCATTACCAAATAAACAACTAATAGAATGTCGAAAGTAAAAAAAAAAAGTAAGGTAGGATCAATGAAATGAAGAAATTGAAGTTTTTCCGTCACACAAACCTTGCAAAACTAGTAACTAGATTCTAGATATATGCATTTTTTTCTGTCCATTCTTTACGTTTTTAAATGTTTCTCACTACGGCTATTGGGGACATAGGACTTTACAACAAAGTCTGCTAGCTTGATATAGCAGTTACTCTATCCAACAGAGGTAATCTGATAAGTTACATCCTGGTACGACGAAGTTTATTTACTTACCTCGGACATGGTTCTCCCCATTTCGCACATATCCCACGATGACAGGGTTTTCCTAAACAACAACCGCCCCCGTGACAAACTTGACCCGCTGGACAGTAGCGTCGTCCATCATTGCAACAACTTGAACCTTGTGTAGCACAGATGTCACCATGGCAACATACATCACAACAGTTGTCTCCGCAACATTGTTTTCCTTCGGGGCAGCAATGAACTTGATATTGTGATCCATTAAGCACAGCAGAACAACATTTTTGTGGTTGTGGACCACTACACAGGTTGCTGGAACAATTTTGTTGACCATTTATCATTGGAAGAATATACACGAGAATTGATAGAATAGCAATAGTATGGCTGAGCATTTTTCTAAATCAATAGAAATATTTTGTTGGAAGAAACTAGAGAATAAAACTGAAGTTGAAAGATGTTTATATATGTTGTCAAATGGAACGGAAGTGGAAAATTAGAAATAACTAAATTCAAATTTGTTTTTTTTCTTTTTTCCTAGATTATGACTAATTGTAAATAAATATATATCTTTTGGCATGAAACTCATTAAAAAAAGGGAATTGAGTCATATGATATTGAATATTGAAAAGAATATTTACATAAAAAAGAAAAGAAATACTTGACACATAATTCTGCTTAAGAATATGGTGTTCATTCACCGAAAAACATAACAGCGAATATCCTTTTCAGCGAAAAAAAATGTGCGAAACATACAATAACGAAAGTACATTTGACTCTCACCCCTTTTATTGCCACGCATCCTTCATTGAAGGGAAAACTTATCGAAAGCAATTTTGTAAAACGAAACTTTCATAAAAAAAAAATCATCACAGATTTTCATCGCATGAAAAAAAATCGTCGAAAAATTTTCTGTAAGGTTGTTTGTAATTTTGAGTGAAGTGGAAACCAAAAGTCTGAACTTGAGAAAAATTTCGAGGAGATTTCCATTTGATAAAATTTTGTTTCCATAAGATTTTTCTTCTATGAGACCTTATTCTACGAAAACTTCGACATTCGTTTTTGTCTTGCTTAATTCCGCATTTCTGAACCTTATGAATTGAATAATTAAAATCTAGTGAAACTTCCAGCCTTTCGGCTGTGTAAAAAAGAAGCGTCTCATGACAAGTGATGCATGACATCATTTGGATAGAGAGTTCTATAAAATCCTTGGATATAATTATAAAATAGAAAGTTCTCAGCTAGAATGCATGTATTTCTCAGTTTTTCAAGATTTTTGCTAAGCGATATCTAACCTGTTAATAGATATTATCGTACGAAAGTGAAGAGATCCTGAATGTCTTTTAATTGTTCTTTCTTATTAAAAAATAAAAGATCACCATTAAAAAGATTGTTCAGCTAATGCAATAATTTTTTCAATTCTGTAAGCTAAATATTTACCAATGATATTGTTTCGAAAAAGGAAGTGACTAACTTGTCACAAATTATATTACATATCTATTTTTACTCACCAATTCCTAGAAAAGTGAATCACTCATTTTGTAGTCATTTAAAATAATGATCTATGTATGCTTGATACACTATTAGAAAAAATCACTTTCGCTTAAACAAATAAACACTCAAGTGTATAATTTCGTTTTCATAAGGAAAAAAGGAAGTGACACATGTGATTACGTATTATATAAACATGCAGTGGTGAAACAGAATGCCTTCAAAGAAAAAATCATTGACCCGCAAGAAATCTAATGGTCAAAGCGTCTTACTCAACGTGCATAGTCAGAATGAAACTAAGTGTGATGATGCAGAAGCCATTACTTTCATCTCTTCCTTTTTAGAATCAGATGATGAATTTAATTCCGTAGGGATTGTGCTAACAGCTTTTGCTCCTTATATGACGTTCAACAAGAAGATTTCCTTTTCAAACTTAATCATATAAAGTTGTTCTAAAACAAATCAGTTAGCTTTCCTTAGAAAAATCTAAACATTATTGTAGTAAAATAGAATTTTTGCTAGCACAAATGTTCACAACCTTCTACAGTTTCAAAAAAATTGTCTTGGAGTGCTAGAATCTTTTCTATCGTGAGTAAAAATTAGCTTGCTATGGAAGTGTAAGAATATGCTACCACTATCCAGAAAAACATTTCAGTTTTGAAAATGATTTTCTTTCATGGGTATCGTAAATATTGATAGTCTGGAACGCAACCTTCCGGTTGTGGATTGATTAGAAATACTCTAAATGGAGAAAACGAAGCTATCAAGTTTCATGTGGATCAGACGGTGACGCAGAAAAGTACGGCCAACAGTTAACTATGTGTTCATTTATGAAAATATCTGGTTAAGAAACTGAGGCTGAGAATGTTTTCAGGAATTTTCTATTCTACCATTTGTATATGGAACCAAGAGTTGAATTATCTCACATCATCTTAGTTGACGTTCATCTAACAGTAAGAAGCTAGGAATCTACATTTTTTTGAATTCAAAGCGGGACTCAAAATCGATAACACGTTAATTTTTGGACATGAACTCGACCCGAACTTGCTCGAGTCTAGATCCAATTTTTGTTCACTGATATTTGGGACTTTTTGTCTATATGACTAA